GGTGGCTCTCCGATGACTTCCTGTCGCCTTCATGCTGAACCCATACGGTCCCTTGAAGACTCACCATGGCAGCAATAGAGAGGATCTCACTTAAGCAGTTGAAAGATGGCGCTGATAGCAGCACCTTTGCCATCATTGGATCGACTGCCAGCTCTGCCATGCGCATCCCATGGGGCTTTGTGAGTTTGGCGTAGTCATCAACTGCTCCCAAAGAGTACAGCAGCTCAAATGCGCGAATAACAAGCTCTGTAGGAGGGGGAGTCAGGAAGTCGAATCGTACGATGTTGTCGATACCCAAAGCCTTGAGCTGCATGATCGCAGGTGCTAGGTTTGACCGCTGGATCTCCGGAACGGTGGCCTCGGGGAGTTGCTCATAGGCCTGCTGCGTGTAGAGGCGGAAGCACTTCCCAGGTTTGGTACGCCCGGCTCGGCCAGCACGCTGAACAGCCGCTGCCTTTGATATGGGCACTGCGGTCAATGTCTCTATGCCAGTCTGCGGGTTATAAGCTCTTAATTTGGCGAAACCGCAGTCAATGACATACACAATCCCGTTAATAGTAACAGATGCTTCGGCGATGTTGGTTGACACGATGACCTTGCGGGTGTTTTCTGGTGTCGGTTCAAACACGTACATTTGCTGGTCTGTTGTGAGGCCAGAGTAAAGGGGCAACGGAAGTATACTCTGCGCCTTGGGATGCAGCGTTGCGGCACGTTCAGCGATCATCTGCACCGTGGTATCAATCTCCTCTCGGCCAGTCAAGAACACCAAAATATCACCTTCCGCCTCTTGAAGATGGATGTCGAACACGGTTTTGACTGCGCGTTCGACATAGTCTTCTGCAGGGTTCTCGAGAAAGAGCATGTCCACCGGATACATGCGACCTTCTAGACTGATGATCCTTCCCACCTTGCCGCCAATCTCACCGGATTCCGGACTGCTGTCAAACTCCTCACCAGCGAAGAAACGCAGAAAGTCTTCAGCTTGCAAGGTTGCACTACTGACCACAATCCTAAGCTCTGGCCGTCGTTTCATGATCTTTTTCAGGATACCCAGGAGGATGTCAGTACTGAGGGACCGCTCATGAGCTTCATCCACCATGATTACAGAGTACCTTGACAGCAGAGGATCTACGAGTGCCTCCCTAAGTAACATTCCATCTGTAAGGAACTTGATCCTGGTGGAAGCCGAGGTCAAGTCCTCAAAACGAATTGAGTAGCCCACCTCTTCGCCGAGCTTGCAGCGCATTTCCTCAGCTACCCTAGCGGCCACCGTGGTAGCGGCTACCCGACGTGGCTTGGAAATATTAGCTTTTCTTTTTGCATCCGAGTTGATCTGAAGGAAAATCATACCTGTGTCACGGCTATGGCCTTCCCATCTGCACACCATCCTGCTTGGTCGAGATACTGGGGTAGTTGGGTTGTTTTTCCACTTCCTGTTTGTCCAACGACAATGGTCACCGGATATGTTTCAACCAGGTACAACAAGCTCTGCTTGTGTCTTGCGATTGGAAGCAATGCGGCCGGCTTGTATAGAGCCGGGATAAAGCTGGTGGACAGATCCAGCTCGGAAGCCATTGCGATTGGGTCTTGAATGATAATGGACCTAGGAGGTGATTTGCAGCACCGGTTCCAAGCAGGGGCAAGATATTATTGCGCTAGAAAACCCCAGGTAAGCATATTGAGATCGCAATTTCCGTGTCAGCTGCGCAAGCCTTGCACTGCCAGAATTGAATCCAGATTCTACTTTGACGAAGTAGATATTGTTGGAGCAGCTGCAGCAGTGCTTACTTAAGCACCGGGACCATCACGTGGCGCAACGTCACTCCGCGGGCATCGGAAGTGCGAAGGGGGCTGAGAGGCTCCGAAGCTCCAATCGCATCATCCCCAGCTTGCTTTCTGCCTGTTGGGCAAATTTCCTGGTCGCATAAATACCTCCAAGGCCTGCGAAAGCTTGGCACTCTTCTCCACCTTCTAGACAGCAAGTTCGCAATATTCTAACGCTGCCTAAGTTGCTCTCACGATGTCGGAAGAAGACAAGACTGTAGGTTGTCCTCTATATCCCGCTCCTTATACCTCATGCCCGGCCACTCACTCGCAGCCAGACTCCCAATAAACTCTCCACTGGACCACTTAGTCCCAAACCCGAGTCGCCGACTACTGCGCGCCCTCTCGATTTTGATGATGAACCCCAGGAAACCGGTGTCACCGCAGCGCCGTCAACAGCCCCTACTCAGCAGGGCGCTGCGGAAGCTGCCCCGCCTAAGCCACCCCGCCCATTGAGCCCCCGTCAACAGGCCGAGAATACTCTCAAGGAAGCATTCCCCTCTATTGAGGCATCGGTGATCAAGGCAGTGTTGGTGGCCAGTAACTGGGATGTGGAACGGTCATTCCATGCTTTGCTTAGTACGTGTGGTTTGCGACGGACAGTACTGCTATGCGCGGTCACTAACAAGTCCCTTTAGGCATGACGGATCCCAGCGCTGCCGAACAAGATGCGCCGCCCCCGAAGCCACCACGCCCAACTGCTGCGCAGAGGCAGCTAGAAGCGGATGAGATGTATGCCCGTCAGCTGGCCGAGCACTACAACCGTCCTGCGCGCCAACCCCGTTGGGACAACGAGTACCCACAGCAGCGGCCGCGAAGGGGAAGCGATGGATCGGAGGAGAAAGAATACAGCTTTTTTGATGGTCGGTGATATGGATCTTTACTACGTTATCTTGGTCGCTAACAGCTGGCCTGTATAGATGATCTCCCGGTGATCCGCGAGAACCTTCGCAAAGGGTTCTTAGATACCCAGACGAAGGTCAACTCGTGGGTCCAGAACCTGAAGAAACGCCTCGACGGCGAACCCGAGGCCGGCCCTTCTGGTCAAGGCCAGCCTGAAGAGAACTATGGTAGACCTAGACGGAGCGGAGACCTAGGTCGTCGAAGCGGCGATCGCGAACGCTACGATGCCGATCATCGCATTCTGAACGATGACTTTGCCTCACTTGAACTGAGAGATGCGGAAGGTACGTTGACCCTGTACTTTCCCTAATTCTGCACTAGATCCACATTCGAATGCTGACCTCCGTTCGCAGCTCCTCCCCCGCGCCCCCCACGGCCCCTCGCCAACCCCGACCTGTTCAAACCCTCATCACCTTCCCCTGATCGACGCAAGGTCTCTTTCCAGGAGGGACCGCCTACTGAAATTGACAACCTCTACGATGCCTCTGAGCCCGTCAGACGTACGTCCCCCGCGACAGGCAAGTCGAGCAAGTGGCAGCCTCTGTCGACGGTTGACCCTTCGCCCGTCGGGGAGCATGACCCATTCAGTCTTGGCGACAGTGATGATGAGAAAGAAAAGGAAGCCAAGGCCAAGGAGCAGAGCACGACCGAAGCTGGGCCGGCCAGCGAAGCGTCGAAAGACAGCAGCAGCAAGACCGAGAATGCTGGCAAGTCGTAGGGCTTGTTCAGTGATCGATTAACAATTATGAGAGTTTCCTTTTTTGCCTCCTCCCCGACACATGCCGTTTCATCCCTAGCACCACCTGTCTGCTACATGTACTCTTCATACCATTACCCTGATAATGGCCAAATGGCCGACGCTAATGATACCAAAGACTGCACTAGTGGGAAGTCCCAGAGACCAGTCCATCCCTAACGAGGACTATGAATACGACGAATATTACCACGATTAGTAGTAGACCGCTCAGTCATGTCCATCATATTATTCCATTCTAATTAAAAGAATAAACGGGTATCACAAGGAAAAACCAACCCAAACAGAAAGAAGCAGAAAACGCCATAGATACCTAAAATAGTCATACTAAACACATCCCACAACCCCAAATTAGATTCTTAACAGCCATCCATCTCACTCCGGCAAACCCTGCTGCTGCTGCTGCTGCTGCTCATTCGCAAAGCCGCGCGGCACACCAGATTCTTTTCTTAGATCCTTAATGACCGCCTAATAGACAGTGTCAGCTTCCATCCCTCCGGAACAAAGTAAACATATAATCACATGATAGATATGTAAGAACTTACAGCAAGAGCATCTGGATTGACTCCATTCTCAATCAAGGACACACAAAGAGACAGCTCTGTGCGGTCTAGATTAGTGTTCTGGATGAAGTTCGGAGATAGTTAGTCAATCAAATAAACAATCAATTAGTTAGTTAACCCAAGTGTGCATTATGTGTCTTGTCAGATGAGATGACACCAGATCCAGTTTAGACCAGAAAGTCTGGTCTATGCCGGCCTGGCATGTTGGTAGTAGGTGAGATGGATAGGAGCAGCAGTAGATGATAGCAAAAGCTAGAATAGTGGACGGTAACAACAATGATTATAGAGTAAAAAGAAAAGAAAACGCCAGGAAGAAGAATGAAAGGAAATATCGATGGAGGGGGTGGTGGGTGTGGTGTCACGTACAAGAAGGGTGGAAATCTCGTGAAGAATGTCAATAACTTCGCGGGCGGCCTGGCGTTTGTCGTCGGCTTGGGAGGGCATTTTCGGGGAGGGAAAATGTAGTAAAGTCTTTTGTTTGGAAGTGAGGGTTGAGAGAGAGAGAGAAGGACGGGGAGATGAAACGATGTACAGAATGCTGGAAAGTGTATATCGGGGATTATAGGGTATAAGCTATAGATAGAAGTTGACTGGAGTGTAGATTGTAAATAGTTAATTGAAGGTAATCATTCCTATCCGGTCTTCAACTCAATATTACTCAAATACTCAAATGTAACGTCGTATTGTAAGTATGGTACTGCGGTGACTAGCTGACTAGCGTATTACACACTATACCCAGATGGGACAGATGAGTATCTGTGATTGGTTTTTCCTCTACTAGAAAACTTCCCAGTTACTCTCAACAACTCGGGCAATCGAGCTGAATTGGGAGCCATTGGACCCTCGCACGATATTGGGCATATGCTGAATCAGAAGACATCTCTCTAGTGAACTATCCTTCGTGCTCCGGGATAATTGTGGAACCTCCCCTGTCAACTTCCCATCTTCCAAACGATCGTGAATGTAGATCCTGGAGGAGTTCTCCGGAATGCCGCCAGCGGATCTGACTCCCAGTCTGATCATCTCAGACATCCATTCCTTGAAGAGAGACCAGGCCCTGGAGATTCTTGCCCAGATTTCACGCGTCGAGAAGAAGACCTTCCCCGCTAATGAGGCATTCAGTTTCGGTGAGGAACACTGGCGCAAGAAACCCAACACGAGGGTTCTGTATGTGACCCGTGCACCATCGGCTTCGGGTGATGTCCGCCCAACCTTGCTGGCCTATGCCGTCTACGTCCGCCAGAAGGGAATAGCCCTACTGCACAAAGTTTGCGTGGGTGAAGCACATCGCCGCCAGGGCGTCGCGATGCGGCTCATGAACTATATTCGAGCTCGTCTACAGAGCGAGGGGTGTCAGCAAATCCAGCTATGGGTCGACAAAGCCCGCTCGCCCGCCAGATCTCTCTACGTCCGCAATGGCTTCAAGGAGCGTGACGAGATCCCGGACTATTATGCGCCAGGGCGTACCGGGATCAAGATGGTTCTCGATCTTTAGCTGTAGCGTGGGCCCTGTACCCGCCCTGTCGCGCCTAAGCATGGCCTTCGGCCCCTCGATAGACAGGCCTGATCCCCCTACCCCTCCGCTTTACGCGGTGGAAAGGAGCCACAAGACTTCTCCTTGGTACTTTTTGTTCGAAACTAGGGTGGCTTTGCCTGTCAAATACTCTCCCTTAAGCCTTCGGGAAATACGAACGCTATTGAGAGGGAGGGGTTGGGCCGGCTATGCTCCTGTGTGGACTCCTGCAAGCCATCCCTTGCAGGCGCGTGCATTCGCAACGTGAGCTTGAACTCCCGCGCCGCGAACCATCCATCTCTAACCATTCCCATACTTCAGTGACGTCAAACATATCCAGGTATGGCTCTGTAGAAGGGGCCACACGCTTCGCGCCTCTCCTGTGCCCAATGGGCCCTTGGGCGCGGTGGCCCTTGGGGGCATACTCTTTGCCCTAAGGGCAGGCTGTTTCCGCCACTTTTGCTCTTCCAGCTACCACCTTCTATCTTTGTCGTCTCTTTCTCTCTCACTTCCTTGTGAACTTCATATACACTCCTAGATCTTCAAGCTGTGCTTGGATGATACGTCTGGAAGATCTATAGGAACGTCTATCGAATACCTGCCAGGACCGTTCCACTTGCTTAGGAGATATGGCGCTCTTTGCGTTGGCTCTCCTCAGCATCCTGGTGACTGTTGTTGTAGGTCTGCAGGCCAGCTACCCTGTTAACGCGCAGCTACCTCCGGTAGCCCGGGTATCGAAGCCATTCGAATTTGTCTTCTCGCCGGGCACCTTTTCTGGCAGCGATGACAACACACAATACTCGCTTTCGAACGCGCCGTCATGGCTCGAAGTCGACAGCCAATCCCGCACGCTATCCGGAACACCGCAGAAAGATGATCAAGGATCACCGACGTTCGATCTTGTGGCCTCAGATGGCTCGGAGTCTGTGGACATGCAAGTCACGTTAATTGTAACAACCGATGATGGACCGCAACCGGGAAAGCCGCTGTTCTCACAACTCGAAGACATGGGGGCAACCTCGGCCCCAGACACCATCCTCCTACACACTGGCGACTCTTTCTCATTATCCTTCGAGCCGGACACGTTCACCAACACGCGCCCGTCAACGGCCTACTATGGCACATCTCCAGACAACGCACCGCTACCCTCATGGATTGTTTTCGACCCAGCATCACTCAGCTTTTCTGGTACAACGCCAGGTAGTGGACCTCAAACATTCAGCTTCAATCTTATAGCCTCGGACGTGACTGGGTTCAGCGCAGCTACCATGACCTTTGAGATGACCATCAGTCCACATATCTTGGCGTTCAATCGGAGCACGCAGACATTCTTCCTCTCAAAAGGACGGCAGTTCACTAGTCCGCAGTTTGCCAGTAATCTCACCTTGGATGGACATGACACGACGAAGAGTGACTTGACCGACATTAAGGTGGATTCACCGGATTGGTTGTCCCTGGATGACGAGACCATCTCTCTGAGTGGCACGCCCCCTGCGGATGCCACCGATAACAATGTCACGATTACCGTGACGGATAAATATCAAGACGTAGCCACGCTGATTGTCAGTCTACAATTCACTCAATTCTTTCGCAACGACCAGAATGTATGCGATGCTATCATCGGGCAGTTCTTTATGCTGGTCCTCGACGACTCTGTCTTGACCAACGATTCTGTCCAGGTAGATGTTGACTTAGGACAAAATCTTTCCTGGCTTCACTATAACCGTGACAACAAGACTATATTCGGACAAGTTCCCTCAGATATCAGTCCGGGAAGCTATCATATCAACCTCACTGCCCGGGAGGGTACCGCAGAGGACACTCGGCAGTTAACTATCAAGGCGATGTCAGAAGGGACCACAGGCGGGCCAGGCACAATCAATTCTACAGCCTCCGATGCAAAGAATAGCATTCGCGGAGGCAAGGCCGGTATTATTGCTATTGCTGTCGTCGTCCCCTTCGTGTTTCTGAGCACTGCCTTGCTTCTATTCTGCTGCTGGCGGCACAAGCGTAAAGCGGCCGCAAAGAAATCTCAGGATGGACAGGAAGCCGAGAAAACGCTATCAACTCAGCCAGAAGGCGAAGGTATCACACATAGTCGGCCTTATGAGGAAACTTCCCAGGGCGAGCCCCCGAGGATTCTGAGGATCCCTTCACAATCATCGGAGCCTCCAAAACTGGAGCTACCATTGTGGCATGCGAGCCCGTCGAAAGGCAATGAGCAAGCACCAGACGCAGCCGGCAAAGAAAACACCCTCTCCGATCCTACGTTCGATTGGGGAGGTTTCGCTTCTCTCAAGGGACCCGAACCAGAAGAGGCCAAACCAGTGGAGGAAGCACCGCCACAGCCGAAACGCCTGTCTTTCCAGAACAGTCCCCCCTTACACCGACGAACAACCACCACTAGTTCTAGGAGACGAGAGCCTCTTCGGCCGATTCAGCCTAGGAGGTCCCTGAAGCGAAATTCTACCACTCGATCGCGTAGATATTCCAAACGGTCGAGTGGTATATCTACAGTGGCGTCCGGGCTTCCAGTCCGACTCAGTGGTGCCGGACATGGGGCCGGTGGTTTCGGACCCCCGGGACATGGCGTGGTCCGTCTTTCCTGGCAAAACACACAGGCTTCGTTCGGAAGTGACGAGAGTGACGTAGAAAACCTAGCGCCGCTGTTTCCACGACCGCCACCTCGAACCAGAGAGAGTGGGGATTATTCCAGACGAATGAGCCTGCGAACAGTCGAGCCTGACGAATCGACCATTTCCGAAGCGGACTCACTAGAGGCGTTTCTTCACAGCCGCGCAAAGAGTCGGAATTCGTCCAACCCACTCTTCGCAGGTCAATTTGGCCGTCGAGCATCATCAGGCTGCCGGGCTCTCGAAAGAGCTCGAAGCACAGCCAGTCGCGCCGACACAGTAGCCAGTTCCAACTACATTGAGGAATATCGAAACTCAATTCAAGAGCGGCCGTGGTCAACAGCCATGTCTGCCTCCATTTACACGGATGATCATCGTCAGTCGGCTTATTTACATAGCCTGTCCGAAGAATCTTCAGACATGGGGCCACCCCGCCCCGTGGGCAAACTGCCCAGCCAATCGAGTCTGGCGCAGAACTACTCTGAGACGATTGCGCCCCTGCCTCGCTTCTACAGCGAAGTAAGCTTGGATGAGCCGAAACGGTTCGATGGAGGGCCAGGATTGGGGAAAGAGAACGATCCGCCCACTGAGCGGCAGCTCGGCGGGAGCTCACGCCCTTGGTATCAGACCGGCTTTTACACCCACGGCGACATAGCTGGTGCCGGACAGTCATCGCGAAAAAGCCCTTCACTCTACTCCATTCCTTTCGATTCCAAATCACGCCGAGTGAGCTTGAACCGAGCGGTGGAGCGGGAATGGGAAGAGCTGCACAGTATGCAGAGGGAGCCGGCAGGAAGCTTGAGAAACAACGCAGCCTTCTTGTGAATGGGGTGACAAACGCAATGCTTAGTATTTATGTTCATATTTGTTTTAGGGTTTTGCTTCACTGTCGACCAGGTCGTTTAGAAAAGTGTTCGGCGAGCGTGATATCCATGGATTCTGAATTTGGTTTCTTTGTTGATCCTCGGACCGTTGGACGGTTCTGCGCTTATCTAGTACCCAGTAGTGTTTAGCTAAATAATCAATCCATTTAATATATCACTTGCATTGGGTCAGCAGAACAATGGGCCAGTAAACAGCGGTAAACCCTTGTTCCCGCTTATCGGACATCGGAGAAGCGCCCATGTGTCACCGACTGATCCATTTAGCTCCCAGTAAGATGCGTCGGATCCTTTGGCCAGAGCCATGGCCGTTCCTTTTAGCGTCATTTGGGAATGAGGCTAATCAAAGCCCATCCTTATCATCATTTCTGGGACAGAGGGGGGTTCTTATTCCTTCCCTCAGCCTCTTGGCCCTTGAGTTTGAAGCATTCCTCTTCATCTGAAGCCTGGGATTCCTTCATCATGACCATTGCTGCCGAACAGCCAGAAACACCCTCTGAGACAACTTCTCTCTTAGCTGAGCACAATGAACTTCCTGTGCAGCCAAAAAGTGTTACGCGTAGAGCCCAGCAGGTCTTATTTCTTGCGTGCCTCATAGCGGTCACTGTCGATATCGGCAACTACATTTCCGTTGCTCCCCAACTTCAGATATTCGAGTTGAACATCTGCCAGCGCTTGCATCCGGAGGTCTTTGATAGCAGCCCTGGCGGGGTTCTCCCTTCAGTGGTTCCTTCGGCTTGCAAGACTGCTGATGTGCAGGGTGAGCTGGCGTTGCTCAAAGGTTGGATGAGCACCTTTGACCAGCTTCCGGGCATTATTCTGGCGCTTCCATATGGACTCATGGCAGATCGTGTTGGTCGTAAACCAGTCTTATTTCTAAGCCTGGCTGGGTGTGTCTTGCAAGAGATGGCGATCAGAGTCATCGGTAAGTTCAGCTGATGTTGCGACGTGGAGGGACAGGCTAACTCCAATGTGAAAGCCTGGTATTATGCGACCATCCCCCCACGAGCTATTTGGTTTACACCAATCTTTCAGATTCTTGGTGGCGGTTCTCAGATAGCTACCTCAGTGGCTTTCACCATCATCGCGGATGTTTTCCCGGTAGAGAAACGGTAGTGAAATCTTGCTAAACCTGTTCACATCCCCTTTGCTAATCAAGGCTCCTGCAGTTCAAGTACTTATTTCATCTTGTCGGCAGCTATACTGCTGTCAGAGATTCTTGCTGTTCCCTTAAGCGCCTGGCTGATGTCATCAAACGCCTGGATCCCTTGGATGCTCGGACTAGCCTGCGAATTTGGTAGCCTGTTTACGATCCTCTTGTTGCCGGAGACTAAACCGGAGCCCTCAGTCAACCCCGTCAACGATGTTCAGCCGGAGATGGCAGGCCACTTGAAGCTATCATCAGCATTTACATGGGCCAGTGTGGTACACTTTGCTCGCTCACAGTTCGCTCAACTGCATGAGTTCATCGGCGAGTATCCGAGTGCCCTAGTCATCTCCCTCGCCTTCCTCTTTTCGAGCTATGGAATTGAAGCAGTTCCTTTCATGCTCCAATATGTCTCCAAGCGCTTTTCATGGAGCTTAGCAGAGGTATGAGATTTCGGCAAAATGTACAAATACTTCAAGTTTCAGGTATGCTGATATGATTTCCAAGGCGAGCCTTCTCATATGCGTCAAGGGGATCATTAATTGCTTCGCTTTGATGCTCGTACTTCCGATGGCTACGAAGATCCTCGACCGATATTTGTCCCCCGTGCAAAGAGACCTTAGAGTGGCCATAGGCTGTGCATGTCTGTTAATGGCTGCTTTTGGCTTCATGTCCGTGGCATCTCATCCAGCAGTGTTCGTTGTAGGAGTTGCTCTGGTTGCTCTTGGAGGGGGGTTCAGCGCCGCTCTGCGCAGCGTCGGGAGTGCTTTGGTTGGGTCATCGCATGTTGGACTCCTGAACACGACCATAACTCTGACACAGGGAGTTGGACTCATGATATCTGGGCCACTCCTAGCTGGATTATTTCGAGCAGGGATGGCCTGGGAAGGAGCGTGGATGGGGCTTCCATGGATGGCAGGATTTATCTTGTATGCAGCAACCATCCTGACAGTGTATTGCCTCCAAGTCCAGAGCTAGATCTAGCCATCATCCTCTGGCCGTTGGTGACAGTTAGTGTCAGGTCAGCTGCATGGCAGGAGAAACAAGTGATCAAGGTTGATCATAGAAGAGCATGACCGCGAGCTTGAATGTCCCCAGGAAGGGAGAACAAGCGGAGATACCCAGGGCAACGATGGTCAGTCCTGAATGGACTTACTGGTAGTGGTGGTATAGACTTTCCTATTTGCTAGAAGAGAAAAGATGGACACCGATCGCTCGCAGAGCGAGATGTGACCATTTCTTAGTTGGATCTTTGGGTGGGATGGTAATAATCCACAATTGCATCGCTATTGGGATCTTCTAGGGAGCGGTCTGGGAAGGGCAGTTCACTAGGGAAGAGGTTTGAACGTATGAAGTAGTGAATTAGTTGAGAGGAAGAGCAGGTGCGACTCTACTAGATCAAAGACACTCGTCCTGCCACATGACCACGCTCCAACCGCCACGCTTATGTACTCACTTTCTACACAACGAATGCTTACAAGGGACCTTTGAAGCTACTGGGTATTATCAGTATCTCATCATAAGTCGGTCAATGCTGTTTTCTCGGTTCCTCGATAAATCCGGAATAGACACGAATGTATTAAATAGCCCCAGTCCCCTTGCAAGAGCTAAAAGGTAAGCTGCTTGAGTTCGGACTGTCGGGGAATAAGTAGGCAACTGGCTGGCTGGCTGGCAAGCAAGCAAGCAAGCAAGCAAGGTATAGACAGAATTCATAGATGGCCTCTAGTCGAACATAGGCGGCAAGAGGGTATTTACCAGAGCGGCTTAGTTTGCATGTATGGACACGTACCCAGATGCATGGGTCTGATCTACTATTTAACCCATCAGTAGCGCGTTTTGAGAGTTCCTTTATCTTAGCACGAGCCAGTCCTTTGGTAGTTCATATAGTTAGTAACCCAGATCCCCGGTACCTTGCCAACTTCCAATCTAACCAGGCATTGAAAGTCAATAGGAAACGTGGCACGGACGACGTTCTTGCTTGAAGGTAGATATGGGCTGAGCTAACTAGTACGTACAGTGTCAGCTCCACCGGAAGGTCTTTAAATGGATAATCCGTACTTCACCTGCAAATTAAATGGGGGTTCATGCTGTAGGGATGCTATGCAGGAGCTGTAACAGGTAGGCACATCATCTATTATCTTCCAGCAGATACTAGAGACGTAGGGGGAGGGAAGTACCTCGAATTGTGGCTGGAGTTGATGGGTGAAAAAGTTCGGGTCAGCCGACGCCAAGGAGTTTTCGTCATTACTTATTCAATTTCAATTCAATTTTCCATTATTTTCAATTGCCGCATCCAGAAAAAGGCACGCGACTGGCAAACTTTCCCCCGGCTCTTCCCTTTTCGGGCCTACCGCCTGCCGCATGCGATCAGGTTGTAATGGTACGGTAGAAGTACCGTGAGAGTACCTTACCTTTCTCCCCAACGGAGTGGAGGTACCCTGGAGGTACATGCGCTGCTCTCTGCCTGCTTCAGCCTGCTGTCTCTCTCTGTCTGCCTGCGGCTGACGCCCTTGTGATTGATTTTCTTTTCTCTCTTAACAGATGGCCAGATAATGCCTGATGCCCATTAGTCTGTTTTTTTTATCGTGCAGAAAATCTCTTCCCCTTCCTGTGACACCATCTCCTCCTAACTTGGACCAGTTCCTCGCCTCGGTCCCTTGTGTCATTATTTAGTATTCCCAATTGTCTGACCTATCTTGCCTGTTATATCAATCACCCTGCTTCTCGCCCAATTTCAGAGCTATCGTCATCGTTGAATCGGGCTTTCCCCACTCCCCCGAATGATAGGTAGGCAGACAGGCTACTACGTACCTACACCACTCCCACTACCGCTTACCACTACTACTACGTATTAGTAGTTAATTACTAGTAGTAGTAGGTGCTGTTATTATTATTACACCACCGAGTCCGGAACTTAACTAACCTTCCACAGCAGTCCGGAGACACACACACACACTACTAAATCCTCACACACTTTGGTCCCCTCTCTCCCTCCTACTACTAGCTTCCCTTTCCCCCCTCTCTCCCTCCACCATCCCAATCATCAGTTCTGCTCACGCTTTTCTGCTGGTTCCATTCCCGCTTGCCGCCTCCCGAATAGTCATTCTGCCCTTGCCCTCAAAGCCAACCTAATCTCTTCTCTTTCACCTGATCTGCTGCCTCTTCCCTCCCCATCCCCCTCCCCTCGTCTTCCCCCCCCCCCAAAAAGAATCCGCCGGGTTTTCCACCTTTTCTCTTCCTCTATTCTTTCCCCCTCCCCCTCCTCGGTGGTGTGTGTATGTCTGCAACGGGCCTTTTCTCTGCGTGAACAGTTTAATTGTGATCCACTAGAAATCATGGGTCAGACCTTGTCCGAGCCCGTGGTCGATAAGGTGAGTGAAACCTGAAGCATTGCGTTTGCCTGTCTGGTCCTTTGATCCTCCCCCACACTGCACGCATCTTACGCCATTCTAATCTGTCCACCATCCACATTTGCCATTCTGTGCCATACCCGCCCATTCTCCCCTTTTTGTATCCTTTTGTCAAACATGTTCACTCCCCAGCATTATTATATCCTACAGCGTTCTTTATCATTCCTCCTCTTGTGTGTCGCGCCTGCAATGTGGTGATCATCCCTCCCCTGCGGGGTTCCTCCACAGGATGATGAAAATTTCCTGCACGCGATTTCGGGCGGATGACCTGTCACCATTCCATTGTGTTCCGGATCTCTCCTTAATTTCCTACATCCTCACTAACCACTTCCGGTGCTATCTAGACTTCCGCTGAAGGTCAAGATGAGTGCTGTATATACGGTGTTTCCGCCATGCAGGGTTGGCGAATCAGCATGGAGGATGCCCATGCTGCCGTCCTCGACCTGCAGGCCAAGTACTCGGACCAGGATGAAAAGCCGACCGACCCCGATAAACGACTCGCTTTCTTCGGTGTATATGACGGGCACGGTGGAGACAAAGTAGCGTTATTCGCCGGAGAGAACGTCCACAAGATTGTCGCGAAGCAGGACTCCTTTGCCAAAGGTGATATCGAACAGGCCCTGAAGGATGGCTTCCTCGCTACCGACCGGGCTATTTTGGAAGGTTCGTGAGCGCTATGATCGGAGTTCGGGCAACCCTCCCACCCGCCTCTCCCTCTCCTTCTTGATTTCTGTCCCTCCGAGGTAGCAACGGACTGACCCGGCTAGACCCGAAGTATGAGGAGGAAGTGTCTGGCTGCACCGCAGCCGTCAGCGTTATCTCGAAGCACAAGATCTGGGTGGTATGTATTCTAGCCATGCGATGGGTTCGGTTCATTTTTTGACTGGTTCTAGGCCAATGCTGGTGATTCTCGCTCTGTACTGGGTGTCAAGGGCCGCGCGAAGCCTCTTTCATTTGACCACAAGCCTCAGAACGAAGGTACAGACCCTACATCTCGATCAACGATCTGCGTTGGTGATGCTGACATGACCATTTATAGGCGAGAAGGCTCGTATCAGCGCTGCTGGTGGTTTCGTTGACTTTGGCCGTGTCAACGGCAACCTGGCCCTGTCACGGGCCATTGGTGACTTCGAGTTCAAGAAGAGCCCCGAGTTGTCTCCTGAGCAGCAGATCGTCACTGCCTATCCCGACGTCACTGTGCACGATCTCAGTGACGATGACGAGTTCCTCGTAATTGCCTGTGACGGTGGGTCTTTCTCTAGTGATTAAGGGAGCGAGGGTCTCGGAGATCGCTAACTTTTCGGTATATAGGTATTTGGGATTGTCAGTCCTCCCAATCAGTGGTGGAATTCGTCCGCCGTGGGATTGCCGCGAAGCAGGACTTGTATCGGATCTGTGAGAACATGATGGACAACTGCCTGGCCTCCAACAGTGAAACCGGTGGTGTTGGCTGCGACAACATGACGATGGTTATCATCGGTCTCCTTAACGGTAGGACCAAAGAGGAGTGGTACAACCAGATCGCTGAGCGCGTGGCGAACGGCGACGGCCCTTGCGCTCCGCCCGAGTACGGCAAGTCTCTCGAGGATCCCACGGCCTCCAATTCCAATCCCTACTGACTGAACGGGGGGTGCAGCTGAGTTCCGCGGCCCCGGTATCCGGAATCAATTTGAGGAGAACCCGGATGACTTTGACATGGAAAACGACCGTGCGCGTGGCTTCAGCGTCCGCTCTGGCCGCATCATCCTCTTGGGGGACGGCACTGAATTGATTCCGGAACAGAACGATGACGAACTCTTTGATCAGGCTGAGGAAGACCAGGACCTTGTCAATCAGGTGCACCGTGATTCACCTGATGCGGCTCGGAATGAACGGGAGGGAACTCCTGGGCCTCAGTCTAAGGACACTCCCCGAACGGACGCCGCTGAGATATCGGAGTCGCCGTCTACCACCGCGGAGGGTTCGTCCGGCAGTGCCCCTGGAACGCCGCAAAAGCCTACGAGTTCGTAGTCATGATGGATCTCTTGCATTTTCCTTGATGTGTCTTTTCTTTTTTCCTATTTCCTTTTCTACCCTTGCCGCGCTTGTTACCTTTTCCTTTTTTCCTTATTTTGGTTCTTTGAAAACCATCCTTGTGTGATTCTACGACTGTGCCCCTTTTTTACCTATTTCCTTACATTTACGTGGACTTCTTTCTGCCTTGCCCCTTCGGAAGCGCCAGGCTTCCTCACGTCGAACTCCCCCCTTCTATTTATCATACTCCAGCCTTACTCCCTTTCGAAATGGCCTAGTGGTTTCAGAGGCGGTGGAACCCAATCGCGAGGTGACCTTTTTTTACGAGAAGGAAGTCCAAAGTCACTCAATATTTCGGCATTGGTTGCGGGGTGGATGCATGGGAATCGGGTCGGAGGGTTTCGTTTATGTTTACCAGTTTTATTGCAGAGCCGCGAGCGGCCGGCCTCACGAGAGTACGTCTGTTTCATGCCATGAACAAGATACCGCACAAAACGCCCACTGTTGATGAACCATGATATTTTCCATGATTGTCCCAATTCTCTTTCTCTATCTTATTGTCTGTGTCTTCCCTGTTCCTTGACGATGCGATGCCGTGTCCACCTCAGCTGCAGCCTGGAAATTACCGGCGGGACAGCCCTTGCGATGTCCCGGCTTGAGCGCGACATTGGTATGTTGTAACCAATCGATCACGTCAGGGAGGGGAGGGAAATAGCGGAGTTGCACAACATGTATG